GAGTACAACATTGTTATAAAATATCTCAAAGCAAACACACAAATATATACTGCCATACCATTTTAAACATCTCCAGACAAACCCTTACAACATAGTAAGGGCCGGATTAGACATGGTGAGGCCCTATGCTATGGGAAGCTGAAGAGGCACTGTTTGGTAATTGTTCAGAATAATGCTGTGTAACAATTGAACTTGACATTTTTATTGCTAATTATTACAGTATAAATTATATAATATATAGTGAACATATTATGCAAAAATCACAGGTCAAATTATTACTTAAATTATAATTATAATTAAACAAACAATTTTTTATTTTAAATCTGAAATTTTCAGAGGCCCCTTTAGACTGAGGCCCTAATAAATCCGGTCCTGTCTCCAAGGAAGCACATAAACACTTACTGCCATACAATTTTAAACATCATTGGAAGAACCCTTAATCACTGCCACAGTAACGTAATGCATCGAATACTCGAAGACTAGTTTCATTTAACAATGTAAGCATTTATCTGAAATTATACGGGTTGGGCAGATATGACGCACATACTGGAATAATATATTTTCCTTATCATCGACCACACTGTTTTCTCACGCTGACAGCAACAAATTAAATGAATGCAATGCATAACAGCAACGATGCATAAAGTTGCTTATTTAATTGAAACAATGGCGCAGTTTGCAATACGTATATGTGTGTGTGTGTGTGTGTGTGCCTTTACTTGCTTATAGGTCAACTCTAACTGCAAAGAAAACCCCATAGATCCTGATTTGCCGTCGCATATGGCGTTGTCATATCAGGATCTGTGTTGTTATTTCTAGTGATTTATCCTGATAAACTGTATAGACCCAGATCTACGCGGGCATTATGCGATAACTGAGCTCAATCTACAGTTGGACTCAACGTAGAAGCGATTACATATTATAGATCTTCTCAAATAAGTTATTTCGTACTGTTTATACAGTTGTAAATTATGTGACCGTGCACTCAAGTTTAATAAAAGGTGTAATTCCTATGTCGTGGTTTTATAACTTGCATGTTATGAAGGTGTGCTGTGTTAGTCATCTCTAAACCAACCTGACAGACTTAAAAGTGAGAAAGGTAACTTTTTTGAGCCCCAAAAAGTGTGAATAGCTACTGGATTACCTTATGTTAATTTGACACGTAAAGGTACATTAGAGCTATTGTTTCCAAAGCAATCAATCAGACGAATTCTTATTCCTAAAGCAGTAGTGATTAAACGTTGACACAAAATAAAACAATGGTTGTGCGCCAAACTCCAACAGTGAGCTTGATGTCCAGAAGTTTGTCGAGTTATTGTATCACGTCTTGCCACATGGATACAAAATGGCGATTGATACAATATTTTAAGTCATTTGTTATTTAAAAATAGGTGACTGTAGGTCAATTTAGTCTGTTTTTACAATCAGAGCAAAGTATATCAGTAAATATGTTAGTATAAGAGTGTTGTGTGGATTTTAGTTTTGTGGTTGCGCGCGTGCGCTTGAAAAGGGAGAAAGGGATTCAAAATTGCTGCATATTGAAAATGCTTGTTGTTTTGTTTTGTTTTTGTTTGTTTTGTAACTCACCTTTGACACATTATTGGCTATATTGTGCCTATAGGATATGGGAGATAAGTCTCTAACTTAGAGACACACTGAGGTAGCCGGCCAAGTCTGGTCTGGTTGGATACCAAACACGCGGCTCTTGGATTACGAATCCGACGTTCTACCGGGGATCTTCCAAAATGTATTGTCAGAAAGGCCGAAATGCGTAGGGAAACGTTTTACTGGTAATGATTTCAGTTACAGAGGAACCGGTCTTAAGAGACCGACAACGAAAATTTAGCTTGTGTGTGTGTGTTGCACTTAACGGCACGTGAACACAGTCCTGGCTATTGGTATATTGTGCTAATTAAGAGCTCGTTAATACAAAAAGGTTAAGGTAAAAATATCGCCAAAATCTGTATGAAAATAAACCATTTAAGCCTTCTAGACTATTAATAAGAACGTATTCATTTAAAATAACTGTTCCACTATGAAGATGTAAAACATCTTTAGAAAGGATATGAAACAAAATATCAACATTTAATAAAATTGAATATTTAGAGTACTTTCTTTTCAAAGACCACGTTACTAAGTAAGGATATCATTAAATATAACAAGCATAAGATAAAGAAACGCATTTTGTGACTTATGATGTGTTCGTTAGGAAGGGTGAGCGCTTACCTGAGTTTCTTTAGCTGGTTTAGCGTGTTTTCATTATTCATGACAAAATAGTTCAAAATGTTATCTTTTGGGTTGTTTATTTTAAAATTTTGTATTAGTCATAAATTACTGGATAATTTTACAACTATAATTATATGTATGATCCTTTATTCACGTATTTGACACGTAAGCCAACGCGGTGGCCAATGCAATGCTGTTATATCCAACTTTCGGAAAAATGTCTATTTAAATAAACCAAAGCAAGAAAAAATCCATATCATGTTTTAGTGTTAAGTAGTATATTTCTTTGCAAGACTGCGAATCATTCAACCATCTTTAGGAGAGCGCAAATCCATATCACACACACACACACACACACACACACACACACACACATCCATGCATACACGTTGCCCTTGTCACCACTATTTTCAAGACTGCATCTTTACTGACACTTTTCAAGCCAAATTAAAGACACCTGCATATAATAATACAAGTATGTTGATACTTTCACAATCAAAATTGTGCTAAGTTACATTTGAAAGAATATTTGATATATTTTGAATATCTCCACCAATTTTCACACAATGCATACCTTTCTAGTCTATCTAGAAAACTCGTAAAGTCTAGAAGGCAGCCGATTCGTCGAAATTGAATTTGGGTCATGATGTAGAAACCTTTCTCTTCTTTTGGCTAGGCAGCATACTTTCCTGTAACGTCTGACCTTGAGTTGATCTCTAGATATGGAGGACTGACTAAATATATTACTTTTTTTATGAAAGATGGAAGAATCTGCATCTCTCTCTCTCTCTCTCTCTCTCTCTCTCTCTCTCTCTCTCTCTCTCTCTCTCTCTCTCTCTCTCTCTCTCTCTCTCTCTCTCTCTCTCTCTCATAGGTCTACTATAACTTGCTACAATGGAAAAATTCTCCATATAACTTACCAATATCATAAAGCATGTTACATCAATTGCAAAATGTTTACAAGTCTTTTGTTCTCTTTATCTGTTAATAAAAAAAAATTGAAGAACCCAGCCCCAACTGATACGATCTTTTGATACAGTATTTATGTAGTTATCTTTGGTCAGCATTTTCCTATATTGTTATATTGCTACATATTGTCAACTATACCAAGGGCGGTAACCACTCCAATAAAACAGTTCCTCAGGATTAGAATGAGTTATATCTCTTGAATTATTGACTTGTTCAAAAGTAAAAAAAAGCAAGAAACAGAATATGCCTTGCTAGTAGAAACAAACTATTCTTAGTAACAGAAAGTTGACACCAAGCAACAGTATACAATTGACAGAATCAGACAAAAAAGCATGAGAATTTGTTCCTATAATATCTAGTTGCTTCATAGTATAATAAATGAACAAATTTTGAACACAAATTAGATTTTGATGTCAATGTTACATTAATAATTACCAGTAATTAATATAACTGGGTATTATCAATTAAATGAAAACATAAAGAGTTATATATCTCAGGGCTCAGTAAATGATATTTTTAAATATATAAACTCTAAAAGCAATTTTAGTTTTCATCAACAAGCTTTCTGCCTTGTGTCCACTGATGCCATACCTGTAATTCAGTGTTGCTATAGTTTGTTATAACATTCTTCACTGCAGACACAGGATATTTGCTACTTGCCTTTAACCTGTTTGCATGTACTGTTGAGCCTCCTGAATTATATTCTAGCCAATGCTTTTCAATGCATTCTAAGAAAAGTGCATGCTTTGGAATTTTAACATGAATTGACTAAAACAGATAAGCACTTTCCTCAAATGATTCTCTTAAAACAGCTTGAAAAACAAAACAATTAAACACAACAAAAAGAAAATGATTATGCAAGTCTTTTTGCTAGGTCTCTCATTTTTTTATCCCATCTCTGCCAAAGACTAATTTTTATTAAAGGCTCACATGACTAACATTAATCATGTTATTACTTTTAATAACTCAATAAATATCACTGCTCTTTCCAAATTACAACAATAAGGTATTCAAAGGTGTCATGTTTAGTAGATGGCCTTTAAAACAGTTCTTTTGTCCTTGCATAGATGGAATTATATGTATACCATAGGCTTTGAGGAATGAATCCATTCAAGGTAAACAAAAGTATGTTAAGATAATGATTCAAACTAATGGTCTTGAGCAGTTTAAATCATAGTTTATTGTAAAGTGATACATGTATCATGGTTCGACGATTATGAGGACTGCATTCAAGAATTGCTCAAAGAAATACACTGTACACACAGAGCGCTCCTAAATGACCCGCTCTCCACATGTAAGAAATCTGCATTCGTCAATAGCTAAAGAACAGTGCAGAGAGAGCTCAGGACACATGGATGAACAGGAAGGCTGACGAGATACAGTGCAATTTGGTCTTATAACTTAATAATACTGGTCTCACAGAAATGCATAACTTTAAGTGACTGCATCATCATCAAAACAGGAAATTAAAGTTTTTGTGTGATTTATGATATCTGTTAGGCATTTTATATCTTGTACACCCTGACCAACGATTTCAAAACTTTTTATCAGTTGTAAATGATTTTCTTTTCTCATGGTGTTTGTGTGATTTGGATTTTTAATGTAGTTTTAAAAAATTTTCCTTTATATTGCAACAATGTCGGCAGTGTGTTAGTTTATAGTGATGTCTAACACTAGGGCATCATGCCTCAGACATGTCCTATCCTGTCACATTATCCTGACACAAGGCCAACAAGTCCTAATATTAACCTCTCAATGCTAAGTGCCCAGTGAGGCAGCACTTAGCATTTTATTATTCTTTGGTATGGGTAGGCTGGGGTTTGAAACCCACAACCTCCTGCATCCAAGGTGGATGCTCTAACCACTAGGCTACTCAAGCGGTCTCCTTTTTTATTGTGTTCATATATGTCATGAATGAGTGTTATAAATTGTCAGGAAAGAATGACAGATAAAAAGGAGTTATAAAGAAAAAAAAGATTAATTTTTAAAACTGATAAAACAGTAAATCTTAAAAACAAACAATGAAGACAAATGATTTGAAAGAATTTTAGAAACAACTGAGACTGTTGTGGGCTTCAGTGATATCAATACAAAATGAAAATGAAAAAGAAATAAGATTTAGTCTGGCTCATAATTACCTGGCTGAATTCCTTCTTCATGGTTCTGCCCATACTGCTGCCACATGATTTGCTTAATTTATGTGCCTGTCTATTGTAATGGTCCTATTGTGTGTGTATCCTAATGCAAAATTGCTTGTTTTTCTGTTTCACACACCGCTTACAATCACTTCCATCTGTGACTTTTCAAAACACAATCATTTACTTAGCCAGTTTAATTAGAATTTATGCTCAAATTTTTGCTTAATTGCTGGCACATGCTCTACCAGGTGCTATGATGGAATCAAATTAAATCAATTCAACAAAAGATTATATTACACTGTCGCCTAATTTGAAATAATGCAAAAAAATTCATTTTGATATTCCACATGAACTTATGCATTCCTCTTGACTGGGCACATGCCAAAGTTGTCCTAGGTTTGCTTTCCATGTACAAACCGGTGCAAATGTAAAATCATTCCTTACATAATTTTCACCCAGATAATGAGCTTCTGAGCCAAAAAACAAAAACAACCCCCAAAAAACCCAACAACTTACAAGCAGAAATGTATCTTTTGATGTCAGACTTGAAAATAAAGTGAGAACACGAGAACATAATTCTGTTCAAGATTACAACCCTAAAGGTTAAACTTGTCAAGAAAAAATTATACAGGAATGAAATCTCGTCTAAACTATTCCAATCATTATGTGCATGTGATGGCAAGAAATATAATAGCTATATGTACATTTTTTAGCGTATATGAGCGTAACATGGGCATAAATACCTTTGAAGAAAGTATAAGTAGTTTTAGGTGTGAAAGGATTGCAAAAAATATATATCTGAAAAACCCCAGCAAGCCAATTACCTTGGCAGGTAAGTATTACTGTGGTGGGAGGAAGGTTGTTGTTTGAAAAAATTCACTACATTATATAAAAACAGAAATATATATTTTTGTACATATACATTTAATTTTTTGTACCAGAGTCAATCAACTATGTGGCAATTTTGGTTTGTTCATCATGAACCACGTCGTTCCTGCAAACTTCACCTGTATGCAACAACTGACAAACATCAACCTGCTTCTGATGTCATATTTATTAAGGAAACATTCCTCTTAAGTCTTTTATTTAAGTGGTCCATATGGCAAAGACATAAAAAAAAGAAAATGAAACAAGAGATGGACAACCAGGCAGAGGGACCTGAAAAAAACAGATATCTCTGGCTGACACAACTGTTACAATAAAGAAATAATTGATTATTAGTTAGGGCTGGAAAGGTTTTAATTTCTCTCCATCATTGAAATATTTGCTGATAAGAAAGCTGGCAAAACAAGCTTGTGCAGTTTGACCAAAAGATTTTCATATAATGAAAATACAATTTTTTTTGTTTCACTTTAGCTTCCTTGTCTGATTCTTGTGCCCCTTTTCTTTTCCAATTTGGCATCTCTTCTGGACATGGCTCATTGTGCAAGCATACTGCTCAAACACAGCTTGTGCCTGCCATGCCTCCAGCTATTAGTGTCACCAGGTAGAATATCTAGGGTGTCCTTGCTTGGCAGAGATATGCTATAATTTGGACAGCATTTAAATTCCATGATAACAATAATGAATGAATCATTATTTATTGGTAAAAGGTAACAAAACAAAATGTCAATTTTTTTAATGAAACATTGCACTGAAACATTGAACACAAGAGTTTTTTAATAATAAGAAAATGAACAATTCAATTGTAATGAATTTTTTTACACTGCCATTTTAACATTTCATATCATGTTAATCATGAAGAAAAAAAAACAAACAAAAATAACAGATACATTATTTACTGTGCATTTTGAAATCTCTATAAAACAAATCTTATCAGTTCCTGTCCTGGGAGCTAGGATCTGATTCATAACTTAGAAACTATTAAAAGCCCAACCCTTACAGTACATACACTTAATTAGCATTATAAGGGGAGATAATCTGTGCAGCCAGCATGGATTACTCGGTCTGGTCTTGTCCACTGGGGCCACATTGGGACTAGAATGTTATAAGTTTTGATGCTCAGCATCTGATCATTCTGGATCATCTGAGATTTTGATGACTTTAACTTAATCACCACATTTGATTATCCTGGATCATCTGAGAGCTTGATGACTTTAACTTAATCACCACATCTGATTATCCTGGATCATCTGAGAGCTTGATGACTTTAACTTAATCACCACATCTGATCATTCTGGATCATCTGAGGTCTTGATGACTTTAACTTAATCACCACATCTGATTATCCTGGATCATCTGAGGTCTTGATGACTTTAACTTAATCACCACATCTGATTATCCTGGATCATCTGAGATCTTGATGACTTTAACTTAATCACCACATTTGATTATCCTGGATCATCTGAGAGCTTGATGACTTTAACTTAATCACCACATCTGATTATCCTGGATCATCTGAGAGCTTGATGACTTTAACTTAATCACCACATCTGATTATCCTGGATCATCTGAGAGCTTGATGACTTTAACTTCAATACCAAATATGATCACCCAAAATCATCTGAGATCTTGATGACTTTTCAGAAAAATAATCACTAATGTGTTCAGGTATCCAGATATCAGTTGCAAGGTCACCTTGCATGCATGAATGTCATTCACAATAAAATGTGTCTTCGAGATATAAGTGTACATACCAAATCGCATCCGAAATGAAGTCCCAACAGTGTCAAGAAGAAAGTGTTGATGGACAGAACACAGGTGATAGATGACACATAATGGATGACATAAAGAGATGCTTTAAGCTCACTTAGCCTTGTACAGGCTTTAAAGAAATCAAGAATATGTGTTTCCAAAACTTTTGACATAAAAGTTAGGCCATTTAAATCTTCAAAATTTACTGATAATGTGATTTTACAAGACATATGCAGCTTGACCTTGTGTTCTTGACTTGCATTTTGCCTTATTTCAGTTATAACATACACATGGCTCACAAATGACAAATCACAAATTCGCATACTTCAGCCCAAATATCAATCCCGTGTCTATCTTGACAGACAGGCATTTGGAATTTGCAATTTGATGGCCCATTAGTTAGCATAAGGAAAGCAAGAGAAAAAAAAAACTCTAGCTGAAAAAAACTTTTATATATTTGTGTAATGTACATGTCAAACCAGACATAATGTACCTTTCTGTTACATAATTTGCCTTGATCACTTTTTCTTTCACTAAGCATAACACATGAAAAGGCACAAATTATAAGAATGAACCGTCACAACAAAATATTTGGGCAAAAAATATGCAAAAGAGAAATGCTAATATAAAAATCACAAATGAGATCTTAATCATAAAGAAACAGATCTGAACTTCTTCAAGTAAAATGCATCAGAGGAAACTAAATTTTAATACAGTACTGACTCTTCCTAGTTACATACAATTTCAATTTGTAATGGTTATAATACAAACAAGAAGGGTGAAAAAAAAACATACAAAGTTTTGTCTGTTTTTCATCTGTGAATGCTTCCTCAAACTGTCTCATCAGTAACTATTCTCAGGACAACGAAAACTTTACTCAGAGCAGTTAGATTTGCCAAGACAGCACAAAACAACTTGACTCAAGTAGTTTGGTTTGCAGTCAGCATAATACAATTGGACTTAAAGTAATTTGATCAGCTGTCAGCACAAAACAACTAGACTCAGTGTTGTTTCATTTGCAGAGTCAGCAAACAAACTTCACTCATGTAGTTTTGATTTGCTGAATCAGCAGCAAACAAATGTACTCAAATAGTTTGAATTGCAGAGTTAAAAGTTTTATAAACCTGAGCTTCTAGCTGAAACAAAACCTACTCTACTCTGTTTTTCAGACCCTGATTTTCTGCATTATTACAAAACAAAACCTGAGATAAGAGCAATCAAGTTTAAAATTTTCATCAAAATTGGTCAGATTTGGGACAGATGAAAGTATTGAGATGCTCCAGTTCTCTTCTCAATCTGCAGATTTCTTCCTGGTAGTCAAATTCTGTGTCTATAACCACAAGATGCCTCAGCTCCTGTAATGAGAAAACCATTACAGTGAAACCTGTCTTGAAAGACCACTGCTAAGTAAGACCACCTGTCTTGAGAGAAAATATTCTTAGTTGAGAAACTTAATGACTATATAGCACTGTGACCTGTTATGAGAAACCACCTGTCTTGAGAGACCATAATTTTCTGGCAAAAAGGGTGGTCTTTCAAGACAGGTTCTACTGTATATCATTATTGGTATTCTCTAATATCATCATGAATCTTCAAAATTAAACAAATATTTTAGAATCATATAGAAGATATATGGTCATATTTATAGTTTGCTTTTAACTTCTAATATCATTCTAAACCTAAACAGCACTGAGTGTACAACTGAAAGAATGTGTATTCTTTTGTGATTCTGGATGCATATGTCAAGGTAAATAAATGAAATACAAAATATATGCCCATGTTTTATGCAACAGTCACTACTGAACATTGTTTTAATTTTACCCAATTTTAATATTAATTATAAATAACATATAAATTAAGTCACAATGAAAAACACATAACATTTTAGTTCCTTTTCAGGTATTTGTCTTCATCTACCCCTTTCACTTCACTATATCACACACTTAGCTGCAGATCAAAATTCTCAAACTGTATTGAACATATATCATGCACTTATTTTCCTCTTGTACTTTGAAGTTTCTCCATCAATAAAGTTAAAGGTTACCATATAAAAAAATATTCATGCACATAAATGAAGATCAAGATAAACCAACTTCTCACATC